ACAGATACAAATATTTTCCTTTTTGTACTCACTGATTCAGAGTACTAGTACTAATGATTCTTTAGGTTTTTCCAAAAATATGCATGGAAAACAATGCTATACACAGTAGAGCTCAGACCAAAGCACAGGGAGGACACTTTTTACTTTTTAGTTCCTTCCCTTCCCTTCCTTTACAGAAGAGTATTTCAATCCAGAAATCGGAAGAAATCAATCAAATATTTCTGTATTAAACTAGACGTTTTTAAATCGTCGATATCATCACTTTAGAGCAATTTATTATAGCAACAAAACTAAGGATACAATGAATAAACTTACTTTTGGAAAATAAAGATTATTTAGCTAGCTGGACTGGAGAAAGTGAGCAGAGCTTTTACACCAATCTCACATTCCAATTGGCTTTCCACTTAGTGTCCCTTAAATTCAAAACCAAATTCTCCGGACTCTTAAACTGAAGCAGCAGTCAGATCGACCTGGCATGTATTTGTATTAACTTGTTTAGTGAGGAGAGCAGCTGTAATCCTAATGGTTCTGCTAAGTCCCTCGAGGGTCTGTAACTGTAGATTAAGAATCTGACAGTGACACTGGAAGGCCTGTCGAAGGAGACAACCTAGCCTTGCCAACGATGTCCTTTTAGCCTCATTAGTGGACATATGTTTGAAATCCTTGCCTCAGGACGCAGATCTTTTTTTTTTTTTTCCTTCTTAATAACAGATCTCTGGAAACAAATCAAACCTGCTGTGTGTACAATTTACACGATTCAGGATTTAAGATTCAAAACTAGGAATGACAAATCAAACCTGCTGTGTGTACAATTCTACAAGATTCAAAACTAGGAATTATCATGGGTTTTGGACACTCCAGGTATGGCAGATCTTTAAACCTGAAGAGGTTTCTGAAACATTGCCCTCTTTTTTTTTGTACGTTTTAACCTTTATTTTTATTTATTACTAATATGAATCCTTCATGTTCTTGACCTCTGAGGTTCAGACCACGACATCGCGGCACCTACAGACAAATCCATGTGTCAGCTGGCGTCAATGAGGCGAAACACTGCAATATTGTTCTGTTTGTCAGTGTGATGTGGCTGCACGCCATGACTCTCCAGGCCTAGGGAGACAGCTCTGGCCAGGCTACAGGGCCCCCGGCCGGGTAATAAATCACCAGGGTGACAGAAATAGTAGCCCTTACATTAGGATACACCGGCACACAACACAACAAGCAGTAATACACCAGATTAGACAACCAAAAGGTCACCTTGAACCTTTTTACCAAACGTGTCATCGAATATTAAAAGGTTACCATGAGTATCAAAGTATAGCTACATTACTACAGTGTTTTTATGCAGTAGTATTTTGCAGTATTAAAGATGTATGACTTGCAACTGACTTCAACAACATCAACTCAGTAGCAGTTAGCTGCTCCTAAACCACACGTTGGCCTCATGTTGGATATTATGTTGATCTTAATGTTGGTGCTGGAATCGAGGTACTGATATATTTGCACGTTCCAGCAACCCAATCCTGCAGGGGTCACCAACTGTATTTGTCAGAGGTCCAGATTTCTTTGGACAGACATTCAAATAAAATGAAATAGAAATTACATTTTTTTCGGACAACATTATTTGATGTTTATTTTTAAATTTAGTCACAATCCGGATTGGAAGGTTCGTTGGCCTAAGTTCAGCCCCCGGTTTGAAATTTTGACGTCAGCGACGAAGACGAAGTATCAACATCATACACCTTCGCAGACGACCCGATAGCCAATTAACAGACAAGAGTCGAGCACTTGGTGAGAAATTTATCAAGCTGACATCTGTGATCTAACAGAGGGTGGTCGGGGTCATGACAGATATTACAGAACAGATCAATACACCTAAGCAAAACATTCACTAAAGATACACTATCTAATCAAAACTATCAATCTCACACGTCTGCTCGGCACTGCAGTCATTACCAGCCTGCGGCGCCCGGGGCTATTAGGGCCGCGGCTACCTAGTGAGCTGAGTAGAGTATCTGGAACATTAGTGTGTTCAACACCCCCCCCCCCCAGCACACCAGGATGACTGAATGGCAGGATAGTGAAGGCAGCAAAGCATGGTGGTAGTAATGGCCGTGGTAAATGGTCCAGTTCTGTGCAGTAAAGGCTGACTGACCTGCTCTGTGATCCAGAGCCCTTGTCATTTCATGGTGTCTGCCTTGAACCTGGCAGCACTCGCTCACCGAGATGGAGAGGTACACGGAGAAACCCGAATTTCATGACGGGTTAGTCCAAGTGGCTGGAAAGTCACGGGAGACACCGGCGAAATCTGTTGACGATGGATAGAAGTTCCACAGAGAACATCTGGGTCTTTGACCTCAAAGACCCTCCATCAACAACACGAGGAAGACGGAAAATGTCCCAACTTTAATAAGAAACACGTGTTCAGACACATCTCTCAAAAGTGTCCGACAGTGTTATAAGTTTTTTTTAAGAGGATAGTCTCAGGTCTTTGGCCCCAAGGGTCGATCTGAGGGTCTGAGGTAGAGCTGGGCGACACCAAAGGTTTTGATTCGATACGCTAGTGGGATCTTTTTTTAACAAACGCAAATAAAACACATGAAAATACTGCCCATGTAACACTTCAATATGTAATATATTAGTCATAAGAAAATACTTTATGTATGTAGTAAATTCCTCTAAAAACATTTGGCATCTGCAATTTTTTCATTTATTATATTAAGGTATTGATACTTTATAATCGATGCTCAATCAATAGTCGTGTGAGCATCAATGTTTGAATACCACGAAATCAATATTCCCATCACTAGTTTGAGGTCATTCTGCTTCAAAAAAAACCAACAGTTTGTTTTTCTTTCTTAACATTTGAAAAGACATGAAAAGCTCAACCTGCTTGAGTTTTTATGAAGGGATTTTTCTTAACATTTGAAAAGACATGAAAAGACCTGCTTGAGTTTTTATGAAGGGATTCTTCAACAGTGTTTTAAGACTTAAATGAGGAATTATAGAGAAATCATTTTGTTACTTTCATTAATAAAGACATTTTCCAATCTGTGGAGACTGCCACCCAGTGGATATAAGAACTTCACCTCGTGACAGACGAGTCAGGAAACAAGAAGACAAGACAAAGATAAAGCTTATCTTCAGCTCTTAGCCCCAAACTTTAATTAAGTTCTATCTGATACATCGACCGCAAATTCAAAAACCTTAGGTTTAATAACTGCAGCTGTCAGTCATAACTCTGTCTTACTAAATCCAGTTAACATGTACGGACATCTCACCTATTTTTTTGAGTATCAAATTCTCACAAGCAGCAGGCAAAGGGTAAGTTACGTAAAATATCTGTCATTATTTTTTTATTTTTTATAGTTTCTTCCAATAGTGTTGATGAATTTGAAAAAATTACGTTCAGATTTTCTTTTATTATTATTTCAAAAGTACAGACGTTCATGAACTTCTCAACCTAAATTAGCCGTCAGGCTGAGTTCTGTCAATACTTCATTTGCTTTCTTGCAATTTTGTGATTCATGTGTTTTACCTGAAACACATCCACATGAAATAAATTTTAATCAGCACCAGGGGGCGTCACGCTCAGGTAAAGGCCGTGGTGGACCATGTGAAGCGTTATCCATAATTCACCAACTAAACAAATGATCCCACCGTCCACTCATTGTTCTTTTGCCCTTATCTGTGCTTTCTGCCCAAACAGAACACAAAGCCAGAGGCCCAGGTGGGACAGATAATAATGATCCGGCCGATCCATACCACCTCAGAGTTCTGCAGCCCGGCCCGCGGATCTATAGCATTAATTACATACAGTATAATTAGTTTTTTTGCTCATCGCAGATTTTGGAGGGAAATCTAATTTAAAGGTTGTCTGGATTGAACAACCGTAGAATCACCAGACACCAAATATTTTGCGGGAGCTGAAAAAAAGGTTAAATACGAACGGCAAACCAAACTGGCCGTGAGGTTTTCTACCATACGATGTCCAATGTTTTTTCTATCTAGGAGAGGCAGATTGAATTAATCAAAAAGGCCATGATCCATCTTGTGTCCCATTTAGCCCGGAGCATATCTATATCCCAGCATGCACGCAGGTTTAATTACATGTGGAGGCATTATTAATCTTTTCTTGCTGCAAAACACTGCTCTGTTTTACTTGCAAATTCCAGCCCACTCTATGTTCTCTTTGTCAATTACTTTTTAAATACTGGGCTCATGAATGGAACACCTGTTTGACCGTCTGCAGATTTTTGAATACATTTTTGCAAAATATTGTAATAAAGAACAGGACGGGAATGCCAAGACGTGACAGCGGAAAACACATCGGGCCGAGTTTATGGACGTCCACACAAACAGCGGCGCCAAATACGTCTGATAAATTCAGCCGTGACCTTTATCATGCTTTCCTTTTCTCTTCATTACACAAGCACCTCCTCCACGGTCAAGCACGGCCTGTTATTGGACGGAGGAGACGAACGCCAGAATGTTAGGACACGGTGATTTCAACTTTTATTTGAAATACTATGTTTAACGTGGATAAATTATTTAGTGTCCTGGCAGAGAGCGACACAACGCATCTGATGATAATAATACGACGAGAAGGATGGCTTTCTGAAAGTGAGACAGATGAGACGAACGTTAAACCACCGGGGGGAGGCAGTGCATCAGCCTGGGTTGCGGCTTACTGTTAGAACCAGCGCGGTGTTAGCGAGCGGTAACGTGGTACCATCCCTGTTGCTGAGAGACCGCGACAGCCACAGCCGCCGCTGCAGCACAGACTCGTTATAATGAACAGGATTAACATTTAATCAAACCGAAAGCCAATTAAAAACTCAGATAAGGACGCCACAGTACCTAATACTGTAGTACCAGTCTGCCTTTATATGAGCGCCGTGATTGTGTAATCTGGTCTGCAACACTGAAAGGACACATTATTGAATTCTAATCCGTTATCAGTTTTAGAAAGAAAATTTACCACATCATCTCGGGAAACGTTGGATTAAAATGTCGCGCTGATGTAACGCTGATGCCACGACGGCTATCGTCAAACTACATCGTAGTCATTAAGGTTTGAATCCATTTTAAGGCCCGTTGTTTTCACGTGCTAAATGTCAGATGTTCCAAAATGCTCGCAGACACAGTTCATGGTCAACAGCTGCAGAAGTCTTATCAAGGATGACAATAAACAGGATGAAACTGGAGGAGGAATGACTGTCTTTAAAAGACGAAGGTTATTCACAACCGTTAGCTGAGCTCCTGTCAGTCAGGGTGGTGTGTTTTCCTCCTCGAGTTCAATGACAACAAGATGTCGTATGTATTTCCACTTTTAAGACTGAAATGACTAAACCAAGACCTTAACCTCTGACTAAAAGACACGACGGAGAGAGACACGATTCTTCAGGCAGACTTTAACCTTGGCTTTTTAATGACAGAATCAAAAGGCTTTCTACTCAGCATGACGTGCAGCGGCCTCATTTGATAGCCAATAAATGTATGACAACATGCCACCACAGCAGCCAGCCAATGGCCCGGGTCTCATTTTAAAACCATATCCTGACCTTTCCATAAAGGTGGTAATTGCTAATGTCACACAAGGCGAGGATGTAAGTCTCTGATGAGCCCCGGTGCTGAGGATGACTGCGGTGACATCAGCGACGGTGGGAGCTTATGAAGGACATGGAGAGGGAGAGAGAGAGAGAAAGACAGAGAGAGAGAGCATGACTTCCATGAAAAAGCAGAGCGACCTATAGATTTGCGTACTGCCTAAAAGTCACCCTTATCAACCCGACACTTCAGCAGTAAATGAAAATAAAGTCCACATCACATCCTGCTGTACAGACGTGATACTACGGGGGATTCGTGTTTCATTTTCTTTTCCTCAGCTGCAGCCGTCGAGGGGTTCAGAGTAGATGACAGTGTGACAACAAATATATTCTTTTCATCTCATTTCTCCACTTCTCAAGTCATCGATGCAGCATCGGTGTAGCACAGGTGGATCACAGATGAAATTAGACAGACGTGAAGATGACACCAGGAGATGTGTTAGTGTTCCACTGAGTCAAAATAAAAAGGTTTGCCTGGCGAGTTCATTTTTTTATTATTATTTTGACCTTTTTAGTCCAGAGCTGTTTGGTCAGTTTCATTTCAAAGTTGTTTTTTTTTTACATAATCATTTTAAGTTAGCTTAAGTTTAAAACATAGAGTTTTACGACGCATCTTTGAAACATTTAGGTTATTTTTAGTGAAATTATATATTAAATTATATTAATTAATTCTGTTTAGGTTTTCTGTCTAGTGAGCCTAAGGTAATTCTCCACCCAGGGTTGACAATAAAGATCTAATCTAACCTAATCTAATCTGGATTAACTGAATCTAATCCAAACAAAATAAATATATACAGAATTTTTACATGAGCAAATGTAAAAGTTGTAAAATGTAGAATGTTCCTTTATATAGGGCTATAGTTAAATAAAAAAATATATTTAAAAAATATGTTTTTGCAGATTATTGCTCACGTAGTTTGTTTCTATGACTATTTTTCAAAATCACAAACTGTAATTGGTCACCAGCTGTGACCAGTTGAATCAGGAAAAAGTAGCCACGTGTTAATGCTAACAACGAGCTGAACTGAGGAGCAACCACTGTGTGATGGTAATCACGGCTGCCTCCAGTCACTGGCCTCTAAATCACCACTCTCCCCACAAAGCACAGAGACAATAATCTCATCACCTGCATCCACTGTGGATCACAATAATCACAACCCAAAGGGATGTTGGACCCAGTGAAATATATGCTTTTACGCCGCCTGGAGCAGGACGGAGGCAGGTGTTTGTTCCCTGTGCCATCACAAATGCCAGTGCTCGCTCACTCACTCACTCACTCACTCCCCGCTCCTATTAGAGCCTTCAGCCAAAGAGACAGCTTGCGAGGTGCTGGCCCCCTGATCCCAGCACATTAGTTTAATGCCTAAATCTGTGGAACTGTTCCTGACTCCGTCTCCAGGCTGGCACAGAAGCCCGCCAGACAGACAGAAAGAGAGAGACAGGCAGACGGGCAGTCTCACATAACACACTCACAGTCACAGTCACACACAAGAGCGTGGTGTCATCAGCGTACTGAAGCTCCAAAAATGTAAGGCAGCATCTTTCGAGAGCTGCTTTCTTCTACCGTCTCTGTATCTCCAGCAGTTGTTTTTTTTTTTTTTTTTTTTTACATTAACGCAAGT